TGACTAATTTCACTCAACATAATGTCCTCAAGGTTCATCCAAGTTATGTGATAGCTTACAGATTCCTTGTTATTATTCAAGGTAGCATAATAATCCATTGTGTGGATGTACCAGTTTGTTGTTGTATTATTTTTGATATGCTATTAATAATACTTACTATGTACCAGAAACTGGTTTTAAGGACTTCCTATGGATTAATTTTTCAAATCTTCATGTAACACCTCTTGGGGTGGGGTGGGGGAGATTTGCTCAAGGGCATATAAAAGGGATCTGATGGAAATCCAGTAGTCTTTCTCCAGAGTCTATATTTTTAACCAGGAAAATAAATCATAAAACAGTGATAAAGAATTAGAGAATGGGTACTGTGAACAGAGAAAACAGAGTATTAATCATCATTTAAGGAAAAGAAAATAACAAAGAGATAAAAAATAGAAACAAATAATGGAAAAGGTGAGGGATTCATCCTGGGATAAGTCCTGAGCTTTGAAATGTAGGTATTCATTCAGTCTGGGGCAGATCTGCTACCCTGAAGTGGTCTGTAAAAAGTGCAGGACTTTGATAGGCCTGCCTGAAAACTCCAAGAGGGTGAATTGTGATTACCTCATGCGGCATGTGACTTTGTTGTTATTACCTTGTTGTTAGTGCCATTAACTTGTTTAATAACTTAAGGATGGAACAATGTAAAAATAAGTAGCCAAATTTATCTCAAACTTTGCTTTTGGCTTTGTAATCTAGACTAGAAGTAGAGAAACTAGGACTAGATATAAGTAGATCTACCTATTCTCTGGGATGGACTAGAAGTGCAAAGCAATATAATGACACTCGTGTTCCCCCCACCCTCCCAAAATAACAACTTTGTGGAGTTGATTTTGACCTTTCAAAAGCATATATTTACCAGGCATTTTTCCAAGATGCTTTTGGGTGAGATTGAACTAAGACTGTTTTGATTAGTGGTTGAATATTTAACTTTTTTATCACTCAGGGACTCCAATAAAATGGTCCCACCTAAACTGTCATTTGATAAATAAGACCGACTCAATGGCACTCAACAACAACAACAATGAGGGTTTCTAAGGCTGTAAATCTTTATGGGAGCAGAAAGCCTCATCTTGCTCCTGTGAAGTGACTGGTGGGTTTGAACCACCAATCTTGTGGTTAGCAGTCCAGTCCTTATTCTACAGCACCACCAGAGCCACTTAATGACAGTGCTATTCAAATAGGTACTTAAATAATAGCTTTTCTGATTTAAAGCTAAATTCAGCCATAAGACATGAAAGGAAGTTAATTATCCTAGTAGAATAACTTATTGGTACATCCTTATGATTTCCTTCTAATGAATAAGATGATAATTTTAAACTCTTTTATTTCCCTTTCTAGAACGGCATTCACATGTTCATTCTGTAAATTTCGAACATTTGAAGAAAAAGATATTGAACTGCATCTGGAAAGTTCTTCACACCAGGCAACATTAGATCATATTCAGAAACAAACCAAATTTGATAAAGTAGTTATGGAGTTTTTACATGTAAGTAACTGTTTTTGAGTGAGAAGCACCTTTGTAACTTTTGAATTCTTGATAATTTTGTTTTGTTTTCGTAATAATTCTCCATTCCTCTACCACTTAATGTTTCTAAAATTTTAATTTACTATTTATTTAAAGAATTGTTTTCAAATAAGCTTAGTATTAGATGTGAATTCCTCTATTAATATAATTTTTATTTGAGAAACATTTTATGTTTTTCAGTGTTTTCTGGCCTAGATGTCAAACAAGAAATTCCTTTAAGAACTGTTTATTGTTGTAGATGCAGCTATCCTGTTTGAAAGTGTACTGTGTGTCAGGTGTTTTACGAGATGCTTTCGTTTATTATTTCATCTGAGCCCCATAACTCTTTTTTTTTTTTTTTTTTTTTGGATGAAGGAACATGCTCAGAGAAGTTAAAGAACTATCACTAAATGGTGGTGTCTGAATCTGGTGCCAGAGCTATTTAGAGTCCTGTTGATAATATGTGGTTATCACTTCAGTAGTTTTATCTTGCATACATATGAAAGGTGCTGTTTTAGACACTGAGGACATAGGCACTGCCCTCAGTGTGTAACAGTGATTGGAAATTGATTACATTCACACATGTACAGATAACATAATTAAAAGTTTAAAGAATGGAAAGATTGGGACCAGGAATACTTGAAGGAAAAAGATAGCACTAGTCTGCAAACCACAAGGTTTGGCATTTCAAACTCACTAGCTGCTTCTTGGAAACGCTATTCACAGTTGCAATGAGTCTGAACTGACTCCTTGGCACAACAAAATTGGTCATAAAGTATGTAAATACTCACCTATCCTGAGAAGAATTCTTGTCTGTGCTGGCTCTCTCTGATATGTATTTCTCTATACATTTTGAAAAGTGAGTTATTTTTATACTTGATTAGTTTTTTATGATACAGTGTCATCGGGTTCTGGCGGAATAGGGTTTGATAGTCTTCCAACTAAATTGTAAGCTCCTTGAGAATGCATACTGCTTTTTAGAGTCAATTTTCGATAGAATCATCATGGTGATAAGTATATACTAAATGCTCACTGAATTTGTGTTCTGTAAACTATTCTATTTTGTTTTCTAGGAATGTATGGTGAATAAATACAAGAGAACATGTGTTCGTAAACAGCAGACAAATAGTCTAGCAGAAGCAGGCAAAATAATTGACAAAGATGCTATGGAAGGTAAATATTGAAGCAAATTGCTATGGCAGTCATGAATATTTTACCTGTTTCAGTAGGTGATGCTCCTTAAGAGTAGTATAATGCACAGTCCATATGCAGTAGGTGTGAGTGGATTATAAGAAAGTAACGCCTGTTGACTTACTGTTCTCTGAAGCATATAAGAAAGTTGTTGCTGTTGAGTCATTTCTAGCTCAGAGTGACTCCATGCTGCATAGGATTTGAAATGGCTACTATTCTGGAACTAGATAACCGGGCCTTTCTTCCTAGGTACCTCTTGGTAGACAAGAACCTCCAACCTTTCATTTAGCTACTGACTGTTACCAGTTTGCATCACCCAGGCATTCCCTGAAGCCTATAAACAAACATACTCTTATTAAAAAAGGAAAAGAAAACAAAGACACTACTTCCCCTAAAACTGCTACCTTTTAAGACTTCCAGACTTCTTCAAATGTAATCCACACTGATTTGTGCTTCCTCCTCACTTACCATTTATTACCTTCCCCACAGTAGATAGTATTCTACTACCAGGAGTCTGATGAAACCTCCTCTGACATAGGTTGCCAACACTAAGTTCAATAGGAGTGTTTCAATCATTATCTTACTTTGGTCTTGGGGTTTGAAAGTTAATGCTCTCCAGTACTGTTTCAGTAACCCTGTCATCTCCTTCCTGTCGAATTCATCTCTTGTGATTATTTCATGTTACTGTAGTAATAACGTGTGTTCACTACTTAATAATATGTATCTTAGCATGATCTCATTACTTAAAGAACTTTGTACAACTTATCCATCATCTACAGGATAAAGTACAAATTCCTAGGCTTGACACATGGATCTGTGCATTATCATTTTCGTTTTTTTTTTTTGCTTTATGTATACTAATGAATGTATTTACATGTAATAAATTTCCATTGCTTAAGATCCAATACATAGTTTTTATAAATACTATTTTGACATCTCATTCTCAACGTATTTTTATTCATAATTATAGAAGTTCTTATTTTACTATAAAATAAATCAACACTTGTTTTCCTTTATGTATATTTTTAGGGAGATGGCCTTAGATCATGATTTTATAACATTATAAAACATAATTAATTACAGCTTAAAACTTCTAATTTGCTTTCTATTCTGTTAATCTGTCTATGTAGACTTATAAGATATGGTAGAAAAGCTTAACTACTTTACCATTCTTTGGAAAAGGGTTATACGTAATTATGGAAGTTTTAGTAGTTAACAGTCTGCTAGAAACAAGAAAATGTGCATCACTGCTTTTTTTTAATAATAGGATTTCTTATTTAGGTGTTACTGCAGATGATCACATGATGAGAGTAGATACCATTCACTGCAATGCCTGCAATGTGTATATCTCTGCTTTACATAGTTTAATTCAGCAACACTTAAAATCTCCTGATCATGTCAAAGCAAAGCAGGTAAGTTGATATACATCAAGTCATTAAATTTGCCCTCAATCCATTATTACCCTTTGATCATTGTTTCACACCAACCTGTTAAGTGCCATGGAGTCCCGTTCTGACTAAAAGTGACCTTGTATAGGTTATCCATGGCTGTAAATCTTTATGGGAGCAGAAAGCCTCATCTTTCTCCCATGGAACTGCTGGTAGTTTCGAACTGCTGATCTTTAGGTTAGCAGACCAACTCATAACCACTACACTATCAAGCTCCTTAGTTGTGAAACACAGTGACTCTATATAGGAGCAGCTCGTGGTTTGAACCACTGAACATATAGTTAGCAGTTACAGCACCATACAGGATTCACACCTACCTATTGTTAAGTGCCGTCAAGTTGGTTTCGTTTAAGGGTTGGGTTAATGAAGTCATAGTGTTGTTGTTGTTAAATGCTGTCAAGTCGGTTCTGACCCATAACAGCCATGTATAGTGTTTCTGAGGAACAACTGTTGAGCTTCTTTAAGGTGTTATAAAATGGTTTTGTAAGTATGTGTTTTCTAAGAGTATAAAATAAAGGAAATGAAAGTTTTGATTCTACTGAGACTTTTTTTTATGATCTGGGGAAATATGAAAACAAAGATTACTAATTACCATTTATTGTTATATGTTTTGAGTAAAATTTACCTTTTTTTTGATTAGCAATATTATTTCTGGCTAATATTGACTGGATTTCTGTAGTCAAATTTATTTAAAATTAAACCATGTTTATATTGGAATTTCCTTGAAATTAACATTTAAAACTTTAAATATTAAAGTCTCAAGTGTTTAAAATAGCATGTGCGTTTAAAATACATATTTTGTATTGAAATGAAGCTCATTTTGCTCAGACTTCCAGGATGTATGTTGTTAAGTACTGTGGAATTGGTTCTGACTCACAGTGACCCCTATAGGGTTTCCAAAGAACAGCTGGTAGGTTTATACCTTGAGGTCAGTAGTTCAGTATTTTACTTACAACCATATATGTAGTCTTCTTAGTCTTTGTTTTCTCTCTTCTCTTTTTGAAACTCACTTGCCACCTTTTTGACAGCTTTACACAATGCAGTCTTGTGATAGTGACAGCCCAAAGAAAAACTAATTATAATTACTCTTGTAGTGAAAAAAATTACTCTTTCCTTTCAATAGCATGAAAAGTGGTAGTGTGGCCTGGGAAAGTACATGCAGAGTAGAAAGGAATTCTTTAGAAGACCTGCACTTTTCCTTATTTGGGGGCTTAGTGTTCTTGAAGCGGAATTGGTTTGTAAGATTGTCATTGTTTTAAATAATTTAGATTGTGTTGACTATAAATTGTTCCATAGCTTGATATCTAAGAAAATACATCATTTAAGATTAAATCCCATTTGAGTTATGTAAATATTTTTTTGGTAAGTACCATTAGTGTGTTCCATTTTTCACAGGTTTATAAGGAACAAATAAAAAGAGAAAGTGTCTTGACTGCTACAAGCATTTTAAATAATCCAATAGTGAAGGCGCGATATGAACGTTTTGTTAAGGTAAGATTATATATAGGATTATAAAATTACTCTTTTGTGTTATTTTTGTAGTATTGCAATAAAGTGGTGAAGTAGTAATCTTTGTTACATTTAAATATTGTACAACATACTAGGATAAATTTTACTTGGTATCTTGCATATGGAGAAATATCTCTATTTGTTGGGATTTGGTTGAAGTGATGGGCCAATAAACTCAGTTGAGAAACTAGATCAAAGTGTCAGCATTCTTGATTTAAAAAAAAAAAAAAAAGTTGGGTTGGAGGGTATGCCATTAATGTATAGCTATTGTAGACTCTGTTGTTTTACTTCTGAATTAGAGCGCATACTTCTCCGCAGTCCCTGTCCCTGGTCAGCTGGCTGAACAAGCTTCTAATTGATGCCATACATCATAAAAAAGACTTGAAAGCATTCTTTATGTGACAGCATATTGTTAAATGCTGGCTCAGTGATCCTGCATAAGGTTTCCTAAGAACATCTGGCGTGTTTGAACTGCTGACCTTTCGGTTTGCAGTCCATTGCTGATCCTACAGCGCCATACCAGCCATACACAAAAGAGAACTATAAGCAGTTCCTTGAAAATACTCAGTTTTCTTGGATAATAAAAGTTAGAGGAGAGACAGGTAGTGAGTGTGTGGTTAGATAAGTTCCTCCAATAAAAGCTCCCTTATGGAAAAGGTTTGCTGTTACTGTTAGGAAGCTCAGATTTGAACAAGTAAGTTTGTGTGATGCCTCAGTTCTCAAGAGTTTGGCCATGTACTTACTCCTTTAAACTGTCTCTACATGGTATTTATTATCAGTATATATTACATAAGCAAGAACGGAACATTATTTAGGAAATTGGAGAAAAACATTTTAATAGGTTTTGAGCTCTCATAAAAGACTGCCTTACTGAAAATCATTTCTACAACTGAAGAAAACTTTTATTTTTAATATTTACAAAATAGTCTTAGTTCTTTTGGTTTATTCCAAGGAACTTATTTTCTGATTTACTATTAATAATTTTCATTGTTTACTCTGTTTTGAATACTGTTTTTACAAAACAAATGCAGCCCTAAATTAATTCCCAATTTATAAAATAAAAAATCGTTTATGACTTGTGTATCTTCACTACACTGTAATGTGTTTCCTATAATGACTGTTCCAAACCTTTTCCACCCTTCTCACACCCCCAAATTTCCTTCTTACTCTCCTCAGTCCCCATATTCTTATCATTTATTTTGGTGATTTGATGTGAACTGTAATCCATTAACCTTTCTTCAGTGTCCTTTAGATTTGTGTATCTTTCTCTCCCTCCCGCCATCATTGTTGTCTCTGAGGGAAACTATTATTTTATCTGTGTTGTTTCATCAGTTATCTAATCTCCCTTTCCTTACATCTGAATGTTTTTTCCTGTGTATTATTTTTACATTTTTCCCCAAACAGATAATGCTTCTGAGTTTCCTAACTTAAAAGTGACTTATAACTGTCAAGACACTAGCCTTTCCTATCTATTTCATTATCTCTTCTCCTGGTATCATACTTTAAACAGTAGTTTACGTTGCATTATAGCTTTATTCCCTCTATTACTTTCTCTTTAACTTAGTAACTGTCAACTAGAGGAGGTATGTCAGAATCCCCTTCAAGGCTAAAGTCAAATAAAAAGCTGAATAGGTCATTTCTCAAGCCTTTTGAACTAGGGTTTCCCAAACTTTTCTGGTAAACATCTCTTACAGTGCTTCTTAAATATGCAGGTTAATCAGACTTTTCCCCTGGAAGTTCTGAATCAGGAGATCAAAGATTGATTCAAACACTTTTGCTTTTGACAAGGGCTCCACTACTACACTGAATAAAAACATGACCTGTGCTGGTTTTGAAAAAACTTTACAGGGTGAAAAAGATTCATTCTTGGATAACCTTTGTCTTCTCTAGTCTGCATCAGACATTTGAAATGGTTCTAAGAGTACCAGGGACCTTATTACAAAATCTAAACTTTTTATAATTCATTAAACACAAATTAAGTTAAAGGGGCTCTAAATCCTCAAAAACCCCATTACTCATCTTCAACAATTATCATCTCTAGTGGTTCTTTTCAAACTGTTCCTACTATTACCTCTTTGCATTACTGGATACCACTGATTATCATAATTGCAAGCCTTGCTTTTGCAGATAATATTTTATGCTGATTATTCCCCCTTCCATTTTCATAAGATTTTACTCTTAGCTCTGCTCTATTTTATTCCATTTCTATCCCACTTTAATGCTCGAGTTTCACAAATCACAGTATAAGCAATTCATAAATCTACATGTCTTAATTTTGAACTTAATCTTTCTTTTGATGTGTGACATTAGGCAACATCTTAAATTCTGATTATACACTGCTTTCCTTTCACCCATCCTTATTTACCTATTTCTGTTCATGATGTTAGCACATATTTTAATCCTCCCTTTTCCTGTAATACCCTCAATAGAATTCCTTCTTGTTACTCCATATATTTGTTTTCTTACTATATGTATGATTTTTGATTGTTATATAATGAAATAGGTCTTTATCCAGTTTATGAAGTAATAGATGATATTTCAGTAATTTATATATGAGCATTGATGTGAAATAGGTACACAATAAATATGTATGTCATAGTTAAAATGCTCCAAATGTATTTATTCTTAATGATCTAGCAAATAAAAAGTACTCGAGATATAAAAATGAATGTACCAATTTAAAAAGCTACTTGTGTTTTTAGGGTGAGAATCCTTTTGAAGCTCAAGATCATTCTCAGGATCAGCTAGGAGATGAGGAGGAAGAAGAAAAGATCGATGAACCTATTGAAGAAGAAGATGATGAAGAGGAGGAAGAAGAGGAAGAGGCAGAGGAAGTAGAGGAAGCAGAGGAAGTTGGAGTAGCAGAAGGGGTGAGGGAAGTAGAGGCAGTGGGGGAGGTGGGGGGAACTGGGGAAGTAGAGGGAACCGGGGAAGATGGGGGGGCTGGGGAAGATGAGGTTGCTGAGGACTTAGGGGGAACTGGAGAAGTGCTAGAAACAGGAGAAGCAGTGGAGGGAGCTGGGGAAGTGGAGGGGCCTGGAGAAGTCAGGGGATCAGAGGAAGTGGAGGATGTAGAGGAAACAAAGGAAGTAGAGGAAGAAGCAAAAGAAGAGCCTATCAACTTCCCTGCTGACCAACCTGAAGAAAATTAAATACGTTAGATTTCAGTGGAGCTTTATGTTTCTTTTGTGTTTTAATGTGGAAAAGAGTAAAAATTTTAATAGCTTAAAATGAGTCACCACCCATGTTGCATGCATTCCACACATTAAAATTTGTTTTATATAATTTTTAAATGTTTGACATTTGTTTAATAAAATAAAACTAGGGCACTTTTAGTTTGGTTTTTATAGCTATAACAGATCTGAATAATTGTTTGTATAATTTTTAAGCTTACATTTGATTATTGGTGTTAAGGACAACATGTATTGTTGGTATATCTATTCTAATCATTTGAACTTAAATGCTGCTCTTGGGAGTAAATATTCAAGTGTGCGTTAATCTTTTGAATACTTAGCCTAGAAGAGAGAAATCGGGCGAGTATTTTGTGCTCTGAGTGTGTATTTTTTTACTGCATTGAACATTGGATAGTAATTTGCGTTAATACGCTTAAAGGCTTTTTGTGACCATGTTTCCCTTTGTAGCAATAAAATGTTTTTTACGAAAACTTTTCTTCCTGGATTAGAAATTTAAAATGAAACAATTCAGCAATTAAAAAAGAATTTTTTTGTCTTCAAATATTTCTCTCATTTCACACATTTTATGGCCCATTTGCTTATGTACTCAAAATATGAAATTGGCAGTCTGTTCTTAGATTACTTATTTTCAAATTAACTGTCAGTCTATATCACTGAAAAGCACTGTCCTTAATTCATAAAATCTTTACTCTGGCAAAGAGATGGGTGACCCTTAGCCTTTTTAAAAGGTGAGACTAATGAAAATTAGCTTTTAAAAAATTGGAGGTACTAAATGGATCAAGGCTAATAAAGGTACATTGTTATGACTGGATTTGCTTATTTTTAAGCTAGGAAATCCAATAGGCAATGCTTATAATCAGTTATAGGGATATGGAGACAAAAAGAGCCAGATTAGTTGAAGACTGGAGAAATTTGGATCCTGTCGAGGAGTCTGTGTACTTAAAACAGGCTTCAGAAAGTCCTTTTGCTCTGGAGTTTTAATTCTAAGGATAAGATAACTTGATCAAGCCCTTTTAATACCATATTCATGGAAGTGCTGAGGTAAAAGAATAAGAATCCATTTGAGTTCAAAAGAAGCCCTGGTGGTACATTGTTTAAACCCTTGATTGCCCACCAAAAGGTTGGTGGTTGGACTGCTCTGCAGAAGAAAACTTCCTTAACTGTTACTCGTAGGAACCTTATGGGGCAGTTCTACTTTGTCCTGTGGGATTACTATGGCTACTATGATTCAGAACCAACTCAAAATCAATAGGTTTGGTTGGGTTTGATTTAGGATTTGACGGTTTTTGACATTATGTTGTGAGTTTATTTGTTTAATTACTTATTTAGAAGCTAAACTTTTGAGATGAGTCCTGTAGAACAAGAATCTGACAACTTCTCAGTGTTTTAGAATGAGAAGAATCACAGTAACCTTTGTGGAGCCTTTATGAAAAAAGAAATGTAAAAATTTCTATAGACCAGCTTATTTGCAAGGTATTAAAAAGTATTTTCTGCTGCCTAACTTCGAAATAAAAACTTATGTATATCCTATTGGATAATTTGCAGGCAGATTAATTTTCTTGTAATTATCCAGCAGGATCACACCAGTTGTATTGTTATGTGCCATCCAGTCAGTTCTGACTGTAGGGTTTCCAAGGAGCAGCTGGTGGGTTTGAACTGCAAACTTTGTGGTTAGCAGACCAGTGCTGATCCTACAGCACCACACAAAAAATCCTTACAGCTAAACATGTAGTACTAATAAATAAATTTAGGACTTTTTATATTGCTGGTAAGCTTAATTCAATTTATGGCAACTCCATTGTGTCAGAGGGGGACTCCAAAGGTTTTTCATTATTTGGCAGTATGTTGCTATTGGACGTGAACCGCCAATCTTTTTTTTAGCACTTGAGCCTGGATGACTAAAACCTGTAATGTATTTTCCTGTTGTTATCAGAAAGTGTATTATTTCAACATTCATCCACTTAGTGTACCACCTCCCATGCTACTAACCCAGTTCAAGGAACCACCACCTCTTTACTGGACAATTGAAATAGTTGATTAGCTATTCTTGTGTTCACTCACTGTTAAATCCTTTTATCCAGGCAGAATATTTGAAAAATTTAGGTTATCTTGTAAATTTACAGTGATGGTGTTTAGTCTAATTTCCCTACTTTATGCCATGTTCTTTATGCCAGCCATGTAGCTTTATGTCTCTCAGTCTTTTGATAGTTATTTGTCTCCAGACCCTTGCATTTTCTGTAATCTATACCTATCAACTTTCCATGGCTGACTATTATACATATTACTGTGTTAGGAAAGTATATTTCTGTGGAAATTTAAGAAGTGATTAAACTTCATAAGGATGAGAAGGTGCTACCCCAAGTATACTAGATCAGACTCTGGAGGGTAGTGTATTTGTTTTTAACAAATCTACCAGGTTATTTTGTTGATTGTTGTTGCTGTTAAGTGCTGTTGAGTTGGTTCCGACCCAAACCTGTGTAGGGTTTCCAAAGAACAGCTGGTGATCTTGAACTGCCTACCTTGTGGTTCAAACCGATTTTGAAGTCCAGTGCGTGTTACTGTTAAAATTACATGTTACTGTTACAATTCCTATTAGAAATGAGCAGTTTCTTTTTTTTTTTTTTTTAAAGCTTTTCCTGTGAATTGAGTGGTAGTTTACATGGCAGAACATTGATTTTGCTTCACTGCAATGCTTACAATCCCCTCCATGCATCATCATTTAACAATATTTGCTTCTATTCCTTCTTTTTTTTTTAGTACACAAAAACATGCAGGAATAAATATATAATCCTTTGAACAACCAAAGGCCACATATTACAAGCTAGCCTGCCTGCCAGCACACAGCCTTTCT